GAGGGAAAGTTTGCAGCATGCGGTTGTGGCTGGTGGTAGTGGGGTCAGATCAGGGGTCGCATGTGGGACTCACTGTGCCGGTAGGCTGCTGCCGTGTCTCCGTCCGGATCGGTTCGCGTCTCGCCCATTTCTACTTTTACTTTTTTCATCGTCTGGTAATGAGTTCCAGTCTCGACAATTCGCGAAATAAATTTCTATTTTCCTCAAGCAAAAATGGGCGAAACGCGAACCGATCCGAACGGAGGGAGACAAACGGCAGCAGCTTACCGGCACAGTGAGTCCTACATGAGACCCCTGACCTGACTTGACCCCACTACCATCAGCCACAGCTGCATGCTGTAAACTCCCCCTCCCCCTCCACCGTTCCCCCCCCGTGACCACGTGACTGTATGTTTATATCCTTGTCTGCACACTCGCGATGCTTGCCGTTTTGGCACTTTTACTTCTCCCCGCGTCTGATGATGAGCTGGGGTTTCAGTCTCGAAAATTTACGAAATAAAGTTATATTTCCCAAAGAACGTATTCAACCTCAAACTATGTATAATATGTATGCATGTATGTAATACGTATGCATGTATGTAATATGTATGTATAATATACTTAACTAATAACTTGCAATTTATTTGATTCACATAGTCTCAGCGAACCCGTTAAAGTGTAGGGTACTTAAATAAAATTAAAATGTTAGCTCTAAGACGCCCAGGAATTGACTTATATAAATGATCTTAGAAGGTACCGTGAATAATATAAATAAGAACGCGCAATCAAAGATTTTTCACGGAATTTAAGTACTTCTCGCGAATGTACTTGCAATTTGTTCCGTACCGCAAGCTACAAAGTAAACGCACCATTATCAAGGAGCCGCATATCTCACAAAGCCTCCTGCATATAATTAGCCAAATAGAAGTTGAAAATAGTGTTTTCTGTGGTAATCGATTCTTAGGATTTAGCCACTCTGTCGGGCGTCGGGAATCTTGTCTGTTCGAAATTTAAAGTATAGAAATAGGCCAACTTAAATTGAGTAATAAGTATACATATAGTTGGTTTACATTATCCTAAGTTACGCACTCACGGAAGTTGGAACTGAAAACATCCCCTCACACAGTGGGTCCCATAACAAGCTTTTTCCCAAATTATGCTATGTCAATAGTAAGTAGATTAAGAAGGAAGATAGCTGCTTCCGAGTCTACGGGATATTTGCTAATTGAAATGGGCATCATTGAATGGAGCCATATCACCTAGTGAGAAGTAAACGAACATGTATAAGAGACAAGCTAAATTCCTAAAGGCGCCCATAGGTAAAATATGACAGAATCTCGGCGGTTTCCAGAAAATCATAAACGTGGATTTTCTAGAGTTAAGAGAGGCAAACTTACAAATTTTACGGCGAACAGGTTTTGAATTGCCAAATGGCGTGGCCTCTTTCCCTTGACGTGATTCGGTAT